CACTACCACCCACACCATGGGTATGTGATCACTACCACCCACACCATGGGTATGTGATCACTACCACCCACACCATGGGTATGTGATCACTACTACCCACACCATGGGTATGTGATCACTACCACCCACACCATGGGTATGTGATCACTACCACCCACACCATGGGTATGTGGTCACTACCACCCACACCATGGGTATGTGGTCACTACCACCCACACCATGGGTATGTGATCACTACCACCCACACTATGGGTATGTGGGCACTACCACCCACACCATGGGTATGTGATCACCACCCACACCATGGGTATGTGGTCATTACCACCCACACCATGGGTATGTGATCACTACCACCCACACCATGGTTATTGGAGCACTACACACCCACACCAATGGGTATGTGGGCACTACCACCCACACCATGGGTATGTGGGCACTACCACCCACACCATGGATATGTGGGCACTACCACCCACACCATGGGTATGTGGTCACTACCACCCACACCATGGGTATGTGATCACTACCACCCACACCATGGGTATGTGGGCACTACCACCCACACCATGGGTATGTGCGCACTACCACCCACACCATGGGTATGTGCGCACTACCACCCACACCATGGGTATGTGATCACCACCCACACCATGGGTATGTGATCACTACCACCCACACCATGGTTATGCGAGCACTACCACCCACACCATGGGTATGTGATCACCACCCACACCATGGGTATGTGATCACTACCACCCACACCATGGTTATGTGAGCACTACCACCCACACCATGGGTATGTGGTCACTACCACCCACACCATGGGTATGTGGGCTCTACCACCCACACCATGGGTATGTGGGCACTACGACCCACACCATGGGTATGTGATCACTACCACCCACACCATGGGTATGTGGGCACTACCACCCACACCATGGGTATGTGGGCACTACCACCCACACCATGGGTATGTGGGCACTACCACCCACACCATGGGTATGTGGGCATTACCACCCACACCATGGGTATGTGATCACCACCCACACCATGGGTATGTGATCACTACCACCCACACCATGGGTATGTGGGCACTACCACCCACACCACGGGTATGTGATCACCACCACCCACACCATGGGTATGTGATCACTACCACCCACACCATGGGTATGTGGGCACTACCACCCACACCATGGGTATGTGGGCACTACCACCCACACCATGGGTATGTGGGCACTACCACCCACACCATGGACATGTGATCACTACTACCCACACCAGTGGTATGTGGTCATTACCACCCACACCATGGGTATGTTGTCACTACCACCCCCACCATGGGTATGTGGTCACTACGACCTACACCATGGGTATGTGGGCACTACCACCCACATCATGGGTATGTGATCACCACCACCCACATCATGGGTATGTGATCACCACCACCCACACCATGGGTATGTGATCGCTACCACCCACACCATGGGTATTTGGGCACTACCACCCACACCATGGGTATGTGGTACACTACCACCCACACCATGGGTATGTGATCACTACCACCCACACCATGGGTATGTGGGCACTACCACCCACACCATGGGTATGTGGGCACTACCACCCACACCATGGGTATGTGATTACTACCACCCACACCATGGGTATGTGGGCACTACCACCCAAACATGGGTATGTGGGCACTACCACCCCACACCATGGGTATGTGATCACTACCCCACACCATGGGTATGTGGGCACTACCACCCACATACACGGGTATGTGATCACCACCATCCACACCATGGGTATGTGATCACTACCACCCACACCATGGGTATGTGGGCACTACAACCCACACACCATGGGTATGTGATCACTACCCCCACACCATGGGTATGTGGGCACTACCACCCACACCATGGGTATGTGATCACTACCACCCACACCATGGGTATGTGGGCACTACCACCCACACCATGGGTATGTGGGCACTACCACCCACCCCATGGGTAATGTGGGCACTACCACCCACACCATGGGTATGTGATCACTACCACCCACACCATGGGTATGTTGTCACTACCACCCACACCATGGGTATGTGGGCACTACCACCCACACCATGGGTATGTGGGCACTACTACCCACACCATGGGTATGTGATCACTACCACCCACACCATGGGTATGTGATCACTACCACCCACACCATGGGTATGTGATCACTACCACCCACACCATGGGTATGTGGGCACTACCACCCACACCATGGGTATGTGATCACTACCACCCACACCATGGGTATGTGGGCACTACCACCCACACCATGGGTATGTGGGCACTACCACCCACACCATGGGTATGTGGGCACTACCACCCACACCATGGGTATGTGATCACTACCACCCACACCATGGGTATGTGATCACTACCACCCACACCATGGGTATGTGGGCACTACCACCCACACCATGGGTATGTAGGCACTACCACCCACACCATGGGTATGTGGGCACTACCACCCACACCATGGGTATGTGATCACTACCACCCACACCATTGGTATGTAGGCACTACCACCCACACCATGGGTATGTAGGCACTACCACCCACACCATGGGTATGTGATCACTACCACCCACACCATGGGTATGTGGGCACTACCACCCACACCATGGGTATGTGATCACTACCACCCACCATGGGTATGTAGGCACTACCACCACACCATGGGTATGTGGGCACTACCACCCACACCATGGGTATGTGATCACTACCACCCACACCATGGGTATGTGATCACCTCCCACACCATGGGTATGTGATCACTACCACCCACACCATGGGTATGTGATCACTACCACCCACACCATGGGTATGTGGGCACTACCACCCACACCATGGGTATGTAGGCACTACCACCCACACCATGGGTATGTGGGCACTACCACCCACACCATGGGTATGTGATCACTACCACCCACACCATTGGTATGTAGGCACTACCACCCACACCATGGGTATGTAGGCACTACCACCCACACCATGGGTATGTGATCACTACCACCCACACCATGGGTATGTGGGCACTACCACCCATCTCCATGGGTATGTGATTCACTACCACCCACACCATGGGTATGTAGGCACTACCACCCACACCATGGGTATGTAGGCACTACCACCCACACCATGGGTATGTGATCACTACCACCCACACCATGGGTATGTGGGCACTACCACCCACACCATGGGTATGTGATCACTACCACCCACACCATGGGTATGTGGGCACTACCACCCACACCATGGGTATGTGATCACTACCACCCACACCATGGGTATGTGATCACTACCACCCACACCATGGGTATGTGGGCACTGCCACCCACACCATGGGTATGTGATCACTACCAACCACACCATGGGTATGTGATCACTACCACCACACCATGGGTATGTGGGCACTACACCCAACCATGGGTATGTGATCACTACCACCCACACCATGGGTATGTAGGCACTACCACCCACACTATGGGTATGTGGTCACTACCACCCACACCATGGGTATGTGATCACTACCACCCACACCATGGGTATGTAGGCACTACCACCCACACCATGGGTATGTGATCACTACCACCCACACCATGGGTATGTAGGCACTACCACCCACACTATGGGTATGTGGTCACTACCACCCACACCATGGGTATGTGATCACTACCACCCACACCATGGGTATGTAGGCACTACCACCCACACCATGGGTATGTGATCACTACCACCCACACCATGGGTATGTGATCACTACCACCCACACCATGGGTATGTGATCACTACCACCCACACCATGGGTATGTAGGCACTACCACCCACACCATGGGTATGTAGGCACTACCACCCACACCATGGGTATGTGATCACTACTACCCACACCATGGGTATGTGGGCACTACCACCCACACCATGGGTATGTGATCACTACCACCCACACCATGGGTATGTAGGCACTACCACCCACACACCATGGGTATGTGATCACTACCACCCACACCATGGGTATGTAGGCACTACCACCACACCATGGGTATGTGATCACTACTACCCACACCATGGGTATGTGGGCACTACCACCCACACCATGGGTATGTGATCACTACCACCCACACCATGGGTATGTAGGCACTACCACCCACACCATGGGTATGTGATCACTACCACCCACACCATGGGTATGTAGGCACTACCACCCACACCATGGGTATGTGATCACTACTACCCACACCATGGGTATGTGGGCACTACCACCCACACCATGGGTATGTGATCACTACCACCCACACCATGGGTATGTAGGCACTACCACCCACACCATGGGTATGTGATCACTACCACCCACACCATGGGTATGTAGGCACTACCACCCACACCATGGGTATTGATAGAAAGTGGCAGCAAAGTGGATAGATAGATCTTGTGGGTAATAGACATGTAGATAGATAAATTAATAAAGTAAAAACTAGTGTAATAGATAGTAAATAGATAAACAGGTAGATATAGAGATCTATAACTATATTTATATACCTGAAATAGACGTTTATAGTTACATATAATTAATTCCTTTTTACACATTATTAAGATTAACTCGTATATAATTAGTTATGATAAAAATTAATATTAACTCAGAAAGATTTATGTAATAATTAAGAATTAAAACAAGTTTATTTAATAATTAAAACAAGTTTATTTAATAATTAAAACAATTTTTCAATATTTTGTTTCATTTTCGGCTAATTTGTACGTCGCGTTGTCAAGGTCATTATATCCGGTTTATGTAATAGTGACTTTAATATTATTCTATTAACTTTTATGAACTTTTAAGTGTCCTAATAGGAAAGTTTAGTGTTAGTTTATTTGTTTGTGATAGTTAAGTGTGGAAAACTGTGTTTATTAGGTTTATTTTGTGTTAAAATAAGGAAAAAACAGGTGAAGTAGAGGTTGTGTAAGCTGGAAATAATTAGTAAAGTGTTGACAAGTCTGTCTTATATTATCCTCAGATATTATCCTCTGGTCAGTATTACCCGCTATATTACCCTATTTTCCTGCTATGTTACCTCCCTGGAGCGCTAAACCCTCACGTTGCTGCCCTGGAGAGGCCTAATATAGGCCGCTAAGGGCTTAAAATTGTCTTAATAAAGAGGTTAGACAATATTGTCCCTTGCGGGTTTAGCGCTTTTCTATAATAATTGTACCTTGGAGGTTTAGCGCTTACTTTCGTGTATTAATAATTGACCCTTGCAGGTTTAGCGCTTACTTTCGTGTATTAATAATTGACCCTTGCAGGTTTAGCGCTTACTTTCGTGTATTAATAATTGACCCTTGCAGGTTTAGCGCTTACTTTTGTATTATAATGCTGGACAATATTGCTTTGCGTTACTCCTGAGGCTCTTCATCCGAGGAAGTGGAGCTGATCCTCTCCTCTTCCTTGGATCAAACATGACCTTCTGTTCAGCAGGCGCTATGCACCTCCCTTAAGGGTTTAGCGCTTCCCCCTGAATACATGTTGATGAGGTTATATTTAAGTGGGTTGGGGAGGTTATAAGTGGGTTAGGGAGGTTATAAGTGGGTTGGGGAGGTTATAAGTGGGTTGGAGAGGTTATAAGTGGGTTAGGGAGGTTATAAGTGGGTTGGGGAGGTTATAAGTGGGTTAGGGAGGTTATAAGTGGGTTAGGGAGGTTATAAGTGGGTTAGGGAGGTTATAAGTGGGTTGGGGAGGTTATAAGTGGGTTAGGGAGGTTATAAGTGGGTTAGGGAGGTTATAAGTGGGTTGGAGAGGTTATAAGTGGGTTAGGGAGGTTATAAGTGGGTTAGGGAGGTTATAAGTGGGTTGGGGGGTTATAAGTGGGTTAGGGAGGTTATAAGTGGGTTAGGGAGGTTATAAGTGGGTTGGGGAGGTTATAAGTGGGTTGGGGAGGTTATAAGTGGGTTAGGGAGGTTATAAGTGGGTTGGGGAGGTTATAAGTGGGTTAGGGAGGTTATAAGTGGGTTAGGGAGGTTTTAAGTGGGTTGGGGAGGTTATAAGTGGGTTGGGGAGGTTATAAGTGGGTTAGGGAGGTTATAAGTGGGTTGGAGAGGTTATAAGTGGGTTACGGAGGTTATAAGTGGGTTAGGGAGGTTATAAGTGGGTTGGGGAGGTTATAAGTGGGTTAGGGAGGTTATAAGTGGGTTGGAGAGGTTATAAGTGGGTTAGGGAGGTTATAAGTGGGTTAGGGAGGTTATAAGTGGGTTGGAGAGGTTATAAGTGGGTTAGGGAGGTTATAAGTGGGTTAGGAGGTTATAAGTGGGTTAGGGAGGTTATAAGTGGGTTAGGGAGGTTGTAAGTAGGTTAGGGAGGCTATAAGTGGGTTGGGGAGGTTATAAATGGGTTGGGAGGTTATAAGTGGGTTGGGAGGTTATAAGTGGGTTGGGGAGGTTATAAGTGGGTTAGGGAGGTTATAAGTGGGTTAGGGAGGTTATAAGTGGGTTGGAGAGGTTATAAGTGGGTTGGGGAGGTTATAAGTGGGTTGGGGAGGTTATAAGTGGGTTAGGGAGGTTATAAGTGGGTTAGGGAGGTTATAAGTGGGTTAGGGAGGTTATAAGTGGGTTGGAGAGGTTATAAGTGGGTTAGGGAGGTTATAAGTGGGTTAGGGAGGTTATAAGGGGGTTAGGGAGGTTATAAGTGGGTTGGGGAGGTTATAAGTGGGTTAGGGAGGTTATAAGTGGGTTGGGGAGGTTATAAGTGGATTAGGGAGGGTATAAGTGGGTTGGGGAGGTTATAAGTGGGTTGGGGAGGTTACAAGTGGGTTGAGGAGGTTATAAGTGGGTTAGGGAGGTTATAAGTGGGTTGGGGAGGTTATAAGGGGTTGGGAGGTTATAAGTGGGTTAGGGAGGTTATAAGTGGGTTAGGGATGTTATAAGTGGGTTGGGGAGGTTATAAGTGGGTTAGGGAGGTTATAAGTGGGTTAGGGAGGTTATAAGTGGGTTGGGGAGGTTATAAGTGAGTTGGGGAGGTTATAAGTGGGTTAGGGAGGTTATAAGTGGGTTGGGGAGGTTATAAGTGGGTTGGGAGGTTATAAGTGGGTTGGGGAGGTTATAAGTGGGTTGGGGAGGTTATAAGTGGGTTAGGGAGGTTATAAGTGGGTTAGGGAGGTTATAAGTGGGTTAGGGAGGTTATAAGTGGGTTACGGAGGTTATAAGTGGGTTGGGAGGTTATAAGTGGGTTGGGGAGGTTATAAGTGGGTTAGGGAGGTTATAAGTGGGTTGGGGAGGTTATAAGTGGGGTTGGGGAGGTTATAAGTGGGTTGGGGAGGTTATAAGTGGGTTAGGGAGGTTATAAGTGGGTTGGGGAGGTTATAAGTGGGTTAGGGAGGTTATAAGTGGGTTGGGGAGGTTATAAGTGGGTTAGGGAGGTTATAAGTGGGTTAGGGAGGTTATAAGTGGGTTGGGGAGGTTATAAGTGGGTTAGGGAGGTTATAAGTGGGTTGGGGAGGTTATAAGTGGATTAGGGAGGTTATAATGGGGTTAGGGAGGTTATAAGTGGGTTAGGGAGGTTATAAGTGGGTTGGGGAGGTTATAAGTGGGTTAGGGAGGTTATAAGTGGGTTAGGGAGGTTATAAGTGGGTTGGGGAGGTTATAAGTGGGTTGGGGAGGTTATAAGTGGGTTAGGAAGGTTATAAGTGGGTTGGGGAGGTTATAAGTGGGTTAGGGAGGTTATAAGTGAGTTAGGGAGGTTATAAGTGGGTTGGGGAGGTTATAAGTGGGTTAGGGAGGTTATAAGTGGGTTAGAGAGGTTATAAGTGGATTAAGGAGGTTATAAGTGGGTTAGGGAGAGTATGAGTGAGTTGGGGAGAGTATGAGTGGGTTAGGAAGAGTATAAGTAGGTTAGGGAGAGTATGAGTGGGTTGGGGAGAGTATGAGTGAGATGGCCAGAGTATGAGTGGGTTGGGGAGAGTATAAGTTTGTTAGGGAGAGTATAAGTGGTTAGGGAGAGTATGAGTGGGTTAGGGAGAGTATGAGTGGGTTAGGGAGAGTATGAGTGGGTTGGGGAGAGTATGAGTGTGTTAGGGAGGGTTAAAATGAGTTAGGGATGATTTAAATGGGTTAGGAAGGGCTTAACTGGGTTAAGCATTGTGATCCAAGGAAGTAGATCCACCCCTAACATTCCTTGGATCCAACCTCACTGATCTCGTCCAAATTTAAAAGCTGTACCTATAAAATGCAACGTTCTTTAAGCTTTTGAGCGATGTATGACCCATGTGGGTTTACCACTTACTTATGATTATAATAATAATGTTATTAAAATATTTATTTCCGTGTTTTGCGGCTTATAAGACTTGTTTTAGTTTCGACGGCTCGGCATCGGACGTAACTGAGAGAGCTACAGACCCCCCACCCCCCACCCCAGACTTGTAGCTCCCGTCACTGACCTTCAATATATAAGAGATAAGATAAGATTTCGTTCGGATTTTTAACCCCGGAGGGTTAGCCACCCAGGATAACCCAAGAAAGTCAGTGCGTCATCGAGGACTGTCTAACTTATTTCCATTGGGGTCCTTAATCTTGTCCCCCAGGATGCGACCCACACCAGTCGACTAACACCCAGGTACCTATTTGCTGCTAGGTGAACAGGACAACAGGTGTAAGGAAACGTATCGAAATGTTTCCACCCGCCGGGAATCGAACCCGGGCCCTCCGTGTGTGAAGCGGGAGCTTTAGCCACCAGGCCACCGGGCCACCGGGCCACACATAGGATGCAGGCTGGTTTTTGGAGACATTTTATGGGAAAAATCATGCGTCTAATATGCCATGAAGTACGTTAATTCAACATGATACAATTTCATATTCATTACCAAGTCACTTTATGCAAAGCATTTCTAGCACACTATTACTAGTAACATTTATGAAGGGGTTCAGGGAAACCGGCAGGCCGGACTTGAGTCCTGGAGATGGGAAGTACAGTGCCTGCACTCTGAAGGAGGGGTGTTAATGTTGCAGTTTAAAAACTGTAGTGTAAAGCACCCTTCTGGCAAGACAGTGATGGAGTGAATGATGGTGAAAGTTTTTCTTTTTCGGGCCACCCTGCCTTGGTGGGAATCGGCCAGTGTGATATTAATAAAATAAAATACAGTGGACCCTCGACCAACGATGGCATCGACTAACGTTAAAAAACTCGACTAACGATAATCGTTCTCGGGTACCAATTAATATCGTTAGTCGAGGGTCCACTGTATTACTAGTGCTAGTTTAAGTGGTTAGGTACAGGTACATATACATACAATTATCATACATAGTGTAAGTTACCCACCAGGATAATCCCAGTGGAAGAAAGTCACTTTGACTTTCTTGGGTTATCTTGGTACGTAATTTACATATACTATGTTGCTGTGTACGATAATTTCTGTGATTGTATTTGTGTGTATCTGAGTAAACTAACTACTAACCCAAAAAGGTCCTGGAGTGTACCTTACATAATTGTTCGAGTTGGGAGCTGTATGGAACTCTGGGTACCACTGTACTTATGTGTACCTGTGCTTGAATAATCTTACATTCCTATCATAAGCATGATGGGTCATGATTGATGATAATGATATTTTTCAACTTTTTCAAAGCTCTTGTTTGATGTAATTCTAAATGGTAATGCATCTTCTTGTTTTTCCAGATGTCATCCAAGCCCAAATGACTCCATTTATTTCATAACAAATCAGCATGGATGAGCACAAGCTTGAAGACCAGCTGAGACCAAATATTGATAGAAGTGTGGATGGTGAACATTCATCCACGTCCTTGGAAATTGTGGTTTCTTGCAATACTCCAGAGACGAAAATTGAGCGGGATATATCCAATGCAGAGGATTTAGGAGACTGTCAGATTTCTGCTAGTGATAATTGCACTCTGCCAGATGTCGAGTCGTGTATTCATCCATTGGGTTCTATAAAAGCTGATACTGCTAGAAGTTGTCGGTTGAATGCTGCGAGTGTGTCGGAAAAATTAACTGAATCAGGAGCCGGGGAAGAGGACAGAATATTAGACAAAGATGACAAGGATTTAGAAAGATTTTCCATCAATAGTTTTTTAAATGATGATAGTGTTGTGGAATTTTCTGTTGAAAATACTATAAATACAGAGCCAGAAGAAACCAAAATATTTTTTGAGCAAAAAACAGAACGTGAAAGTCACGACACTGAAACAGATAAACTGAGTCGGCCCAGCTCTTCCGAAAGTGATAAAATATCATCATCATCATCGCGTTCAGTTCATGATGAGCCACAAAATTCAAACTATCTTCTCACAGAGATTGAAAGTCTGTTGACTGCATCGGATGGATGCAGTCCCGACTCTGACTTTGAGATCAGTAAAGTTGACTTCTCTTCCGCCCCCAAAGAAAATCTGATGAAAATTTTGTCGTGCTTGTTAGATGAGTGTGATTCATTAAAGAGAGATAAAGCAAGGTAAAAACTCCCATAACGAATGATTCCTTTAGGGTTTAGCACTTTCCACAAATGTACAATATATATACAGTGGACCCCCGGTTAACGATATTTTTTCACTCCAGAAGTATGTTCAGGTGCCAGTACTGACCGAATTTGTTCCCATAAGGAATATTGTGAAGTAGATTAGTCCATTTCAGACCCCCAAACATACACGTACAAACGCACTTACATAAATACACTTACATAATTGGTCGCATTTGGAGGTGATCGTTATGCGGGGGTCCACTGTAGTTAGTTCTTCATGATGTTAATGTGTTCTTGAAGATCATTTGGAACTTGAAACCTATTGTCCCATAGACATCCATGTTACAATCAGAGATGTGTTCCTGACTTTGTCCCATAGACATCCATGTTACAATCAGAGATGTGTTCCTGACTTTGTCCCGTAGACATCCATGTTACAATCAGAGATGTGTTCCTGACTTTGTCCCATAGTCATCCATGTTAATAAGAACATAAGAAAGGAGGAACACTGCAACAGGCCTGTTGGCCCATACAATCAGAGATGTGTTCCTGACTTGTGATAGTACTTATCTAATTTTTGTTTTTTTTGTTTTCTAAAAATAAAATAAAGCATTAAACAGGACTCCCTCCCTCCCTCCCTCCCTCCCTCCCACTTGCTTATTGTCTTTCCTCTTGCATTCTCTGCCTCATATTTCCTCCCTCGTATTCCCTCCTTTGTATTCCTTCCCTCGTATTCCCTCCCTCATATTCCCTCCCTCGTATTTCCTCCCTCATATTCCCTCCCTTGTATTCCCTCCCTCGTATTCCCTCCCTTGTATTCCGTCCCTCGTATTCCGTCCCTCGTATTCCCTCCCTCGTATTTCCTCCCTCATATTCCCTCCCTTGTATTCCCTCCCTCGTATTCCCTCCCTTGTATTCCGTCCCTCGTATTCCCTCCCTCATATTCCCTCCCTCGTATTTCCTCCCTCATATTCCCTCCCTCGTATTCCGTCCCTCGTATTCCCTCCCTTGTATTCCCTCCCTTGTATTCCGTCCCTCGTATTCCCTCCCTCATATTCCCTTCCTCGTATTCCCTCCCTCATATTACCTCGTAAGTATTCCCCCTCACCTAAGATTCTCTACATAACCAGTCACTCCCATGTGTAATATTAAATATCATAATTTTTTGCACAGACAATGTATCATATGGAGATAAAGAATTGTAAATTAGGAGACGTGAAGTAGCACAGGCCCCAGGAAGATAATTCTCACAACAAGCAGCAGATACATTTTTTAAATACATTTTTTAACTTACAGGTTAGAGGGAGAGGTGGACAGGCTGGAGGCCGACCACTCCTCCCAGGTGTATGAAGCACAGATACAAGCGTTGGAGAAAACTCTAGCACAAGTAAATATTATAATAGCTACACCTACCATCCGACTTACGACCTGCTCGACTTACGACCTGCTCGACTTACGACCACTCGACTTACGACCGTGTTTTTTATGCCAAATTTCTGGGAAATAAATGACTGTTTGTGTTGTACACAGTGTTTATCCTAAGCCTTACAGTATAAAACACAGTACTAACACCATAAAAAGTAAAGTGAAACATGAAATACCAAAATAAAATAATAAAATAAAGTAATTACAAAAATGTTTTATTGATATTCGGTAGTAAAGTTCAACTTACGACCATTTCGACTTACGACCGGTTTCTCGGAACCGAATTCGGTCGTAAGTCGGATGGTAGGTGTATTTGCTAAATATTTGTATTTCTCATATGTTGCAATAATAGAAATATTGTTCTATTGTGTATTAATGTGTATTTGTGTATATATATATTTGTGTGTATAATTACCATTCTTTATATGTAAGCACTAAATGTATGTATATTTTATATAGTATGTATACAAGTACAGTAATGTGTATGTCCGCTTGGAAATACATGCCAATTAATGTATATTTGAACTGTGATGTCAACACTTATAACACAGCAATTGATGTTGAATGAGTTTCCTCTTTTTTTGGGTCACCCAACCTTGGTGAGAGATGACCAGTCTGTTAAAAGTACAATGATAATGATGACAATAATAATAATATATATGCACACAAGCTCTAGGTTGCAAGAACAACTGTCAACGAATAAACGGAAGAATGGACGAGAAGCTTGAACCACGGTCCGGAAATTGACATTCCAACGCTCTACTGTCTAGGCTAACCCAGACCTTTAATAGGATGTGACCTTGAGGGGGATAAGAATAGATCTACTGTTCCAGCTCCTGGGCCCAGGGAAGAAATTCAGTTGGGTTACAGTTGGTGCCACTGACGGAGAGTAATACTGTAAGTACGTATTACCTCCGAATCCTTCCTGTTAGAGGCCTGGGTTAGCCTCAACGGTAGTGTCAGACTGTCAATTAACCCTTAAACGGTCCAAACAGATCAACGTTCAAATTCGTAGCTACAAAAGTAGATCTACTTTTTTTTACAATTTTTCAAATATAACAAAAAAAAAAAGTAGATAAAAGTTTTTTTTACACATTTTCAAATGTAAAACAAAAAAGATCTACATTTTTACATACTTTCAGATGTTGAAAAAACGTATATATACGTTTGGACCGTTTAAGGGTTAACAGACTGCGGTTCAAGCCTCTTGACCTTCTGTTTGTTATAACATAATTAGACTTTATTTGTATATATTATTAACATCATCGCTATCATTGTACTTTTAACAGACTGGTCATCTCCCATTAAAGTGCGGTGACCCAAGAAAAGAGGAAACACATTCATTCATCATTCATTCAGTTGCCCTTTGTCCACCCTTCTGTTTATTCACAAATGCACTTATATATACGTAGGCACAAGCTGACTCGTGCAGCTGGCAAGAGAAACTACAACAAGCTGAGGAGAATTACATGAAGGAAAATATCAAGATTCGGTGCGACCTGACGGCTCGTCTAGAGTACATGACCAAAGAGTACGAAGCTGCCAACAGGGACAAAGAGTCCATGGTGATTAAATATGCTACATCAGAGAGAGAGGTTAGTAGTACTCTGGCAGTGAAATAAAATATGTTAACTTAGTAATGATGATAGAATTACTGACAAAATATTAGGTAAATAGACAGTAATGGAACTACAATGGACCCCCGGTTTACGATATTTTTTCATTCCAGAAGTATGTTCAGGTGCCAGTACTGACCGAATTTGTTCCCATAAGGAATATTGTGAAGTAGATTAGTCCATTTCAGACCCCCAAACATACATGTACAAACGCACTTACATAAATACACTTACATAATTGGTCGCATTGGGAGCTGATCGTAAACCGGGGGTCCACTGTAATGTGACATTTTATTGTGGCATCGTTTTGCTCTCCAAATTCCCTCGAGGGAAGTTCCTTGATGCTGGTGAGGGGCTCTTGATCTAGGGAATTGGATCTGTGCTCCGGTTCCCTGAATTGTCTCAATACCCTCCATCCCTTTCCCCCACGTGCGCTGTATAATCCTACGGGTTTAGTGCTCCCCCATGATTTTAGTAATAATATAATGCTCTCCAAATTCAAAATTCAAATTCGGATTTTTGTTTCTTTGCATACTGTACAATGTGTGATTACAGAAAGAAACACATATCTGGGCAGAGGTGCCCAGATATGTCAGTTTAGATGTCACTCCAAACAGCCAATATCTCAAACCTCTCCTTTAACCCTTAAACTGTCCAAGCAGATCTATGTTCACATGCGTAGTGCTCCAAAAGTAGATCTACGTTTTTTTTACATACACTGGACCCCCGCCTTACCATCAGCTCCCAACTCGACCAATTATGTAAGTGTATTTTTGTACGTGCTTTTGTACGTATATTTTTGGGAGTCTGAAACTGACTAATCTAATTCACAATATTCCTTATGGGAACAAATTTGGTCGGTAACGGCACCCGAACAGACTTCTTGAATGAAATAATATCGTAAGGCGGGGGTCCACTGTATTTTCAAATATAACAAAAAAAAAAAGTAGATCAAAGTTTTTTTACACGTTTTCAAATGTAAAAAAAGAAAAGAAGATCTACTTTGTTTTACATACTTTCAAATGTTGAAAAAACGTATATATACGTTTGGACAGTTCAAGGGTTAAAGTGCAGGCATTGTACCTCCCACCTCCAGGACTCGAGTCTGGCTAACCGGTTTCCCTGAATCCATTTACGAAATATTACCCTGTTCACACTCCAGCAGCTCGCCAGGTTCCAAAAACCATTTGTCTCCATTCATTCCTCTCTGTGATTATTATTTCCTCAGGTAATAGTGGCCAAGAAGCAGAAGGAAGCAGTTGAGAAGAAGATGAAGGAAATGGAGAAGGAGAGAGAGCAACTAGTCAGTAAGAACAAGATGTTGATATCAGAGCGCGCTCGTATCTGCCAGACTCTGGACACTAAGGTGGGTCACAAGTGGGCCACAAGTGGGCCACAAGTGGGCCACAAGTGAAGCACCAGGCCTCAGTCCTGGAGTGGGTTAGACATTGAGTTTGTTACCTTACGCCTTATGGGTTCTTCGATGTTGTAGGTACCTCACATCTAATCCTCAGGTTCACTTAAAAGTTACTAGGTACCTGGGTGCTATAGATTCTTCTTATTGCTTCAACCATTTCTATTTCTGCTACTACTTCTACCACTGTAGGACCCTTGTGGGTCCAGCACTTAGTTTCAATAATAATAATACAGTGGACCCCCGACTAACGATCAGCTCCCAACTTGACCAATTATGTAAGTGTATTTTTGTAAGTGCTTTTGTAGGTGTATTTTTGGGGGTCTGAAATGGACTAATCTAATTCACAATATTCCTTATGGGAACAAATTCGGTCTATAACGGCACCCGAACAGACTTCTGGATTGAAATAATATCGTTAGTCGGGGGTCCAATGTACTTCTACCATTTCCAGTAATAATAATAATGGAGCTAGTAACCACTTCTCCTGTATAAATTACTAATTTAATAAGAAGAAAACTAGACCTAAATAATAATAATAGAAAAAACTAGACATTGAATAATAATAATACTAATAATAATATTTTGACAGGTGCAGAAAAATAATTGGTATCAACGGGAGGTGGAGAGGCTGAAGGAAGATATCAACAGCCGAGATATCAAGATCAAATGGGCGCAGACTAAGCTCAAGGCTGAGATGGAGGCACACCAGGTACCAGCACTTTTGCTTAGGGTCAGCTGGCCACCACTAACAGCCTGGTTGATTGTGCACACTGTACTATATTTAGTGGATGGAGGATCAAGCCTTTGCCACTCGTGTGATGATTGATCTCTAAGAGGTTTCTCTGTTTCCTTTGCTCACACCAGTACCTTTGCTCACACCAGTACCTTTGCTCACACCAGTACCTTTGCTCACACCAGTACCTTTGCTCACACCAGTACCTTTGCTCACACCAGTACCTTTGCTCATGCCAGTACCTTTGTTCATGCCAGTACCTTTGCTCACACCAGTACCTTTGCTCACACCAGTACCTTTGCTCACACCAGTACCTTTGCTCACACCAGTACCTTTGCTCACACCAGTACCTTTGCTCTCACCAGCACCTTTGCTCTCACCAGTACCTTTGCTCTCACCAGTACCTTTGCTCACACCAGTACCTTTGCTCTCACCAGTACCTTTGTTCACACCAGTACCTTAGCTCACACCAGTACCTTTGCTCACACCAGTACCTTTGCTTACACCAGTACCTTTGCTCACACCAGTACCTTTGCTCTCACCAGCACCTTTGCTCTCACCAGTACCTTTGCTCTCACCAGTACCTTTGCTCACACCAGTACCTTTGCTCTCACCAGTACCTTTGTTCACACCAGTACCTTAGCTCACACCAGTACCTTTGCTCTCACCAGTACCTTTGCTCTCACCAGTACCTTTGCTCACACCAGTACCTTTGCTCTCACCAGTACCTTTGTTCACACCAGTACCTTAGCTCACACCAGTACCTTTGCTCACACCAGTACCTTTGCTCTCACCAGTACCTTTGTTCACACCAGTACCTTAGCTCACACCAGTACCTTTGCTCACACCAGTACCTTTGCTCACACCAGTACCTTTGCTCCCTCAAAAGCCTGAACCTACTAAATGTACGAGACATACACTCATATTATTATGCCTACTATATATACAGAACATTAAACCCCAATATAAACCCTCCAGTTAAGCTTCACTTTGATAGCTATAACAGAACGCATAGTCACAATACAAGGCACAAGGCACTCTTCAACATCCCTCGTGTCCGTCTTGCACTACGCAGAAATGCAATGTTGGTAGGTAAGACACATAGGCAACATTTAGGAAACTTTATTTTGAAACGTTTCGCCTACACAGTAGGCTTCTTCAGTCGAGTACAGAAAGTAGGCAGGAACAGTAGAGATGTGAAGATGATGTAATCAGTCCATCACCCTTGAAGTCGTAGATTTGAGGTTGTCAGTCCCTCAGCCTGGAGAAGTTCTGTTCCAAAGTCTGGAACTATCTGAAGATCAAGCGACAGTGAGGAGACTTAAATACTGTCGGAAGGAGAGGTGCAGAGTAGTAGTAGTAGTGAGAATGTACATTAAGGGCTCGAAGATCTGAAATTCACTACGTGAACCGGTAAAGGATCCCCCGACAACATACAAATTTAAGGCTATGTATAAAAAAAATCGCGTCTCTCAATACTAACTAAACCAACCTAAATAACTTTTAATTGATTTACCTGGAGTTTACCTGGAAAGAGTTCCGGGGGATTGTTTTTCTTATGTTCAACTTCAAGATAATTATTCGTATTAACCTCCACCTTGACTACCTCATATTAGTATTAAGATAAAGATTTATTAATATGTTAATCACTCTTATCTAATAGTGAGTTTCTTTGTACTTAACAAATCAAAATTGTAATTACACTTTGTAATCTTTGCAAAGAAATAAAATCTTCATTCTTTCCTTTGCTGACTCTGGCCAGACACAGTCACACGAGCTTGCTTGGTGCTCAAGCTGCTATCATTTAAAACCACTTCTACTTAATGTTATCATTCATAAGAAAAAACGACCACAATAAATTGAATTTTGAGCAGTATAAAGTCATGGAGTTGAAAAATTATCAAATACAGTGGAACCTCAAATATCGAACTTTCTTCGGTCCAGAAGTCTGTTCGAGTGCCTTTACCGAATGAATTTATTCCCATCAGGAATAATGTAAATTAGATTAGTCCATTTCAGACCCTTAAAAATACACTTATAAAAGCACTTACAATAATACACTTACATAATTGGTTGTGTTGGGAGCAGTTCGATTTTTGAGGTTCCACTGTAAATGAATTTATTGACTGGTTGCACTTCAAATTAAAACTGAAATTGTTTAATTCTTTTCTGCAGTACAGTCTCTCCTCACTTAGCGACGTACTTGTTTATCAACGCCTCGGACTTACGACAGGCTGACTGACCAGTATTTATACCTAAATAATGTATATTAGAGCTGATTTTCTCTGTTCTGTTTATTACAGTATACAGTACACTACTGTATAAATATTTAGAAATATACCAGAAATGTTATAAATAGTGCAAAGGTGGCATTAAAACAACATCACAAAGGTGGCATTAAAACAACATCACAAAGGTGGCATTAAAACAACATCACAAAGGTGGCATTAAAACAACATCACAAAGGTGGCATTAAAACAACATCACAAAGGTGGCATTAAAACAACATCAAAGATGGCTGACACAAACCCACTACCATTATAGTATGATCCTCACTTAGCGACAAATTTGTTTACCGACGTGGTCTTAGGAACAGAACTCCGTCATTCAGTGATATCAGATAATATACTTTACATGTCATAAAGTATCGTAAAGTAGAAAATAAAGGCGTTAATATGCAGTGCATTTTGGATAAACTGATTTTAATTCTTAAAGACTGCTTAAGAACTAGATACAGTCAATTCTCTTATAAGCTCCTCTATGTAGTGCAGTGTTTTATGAGATTATTTTTTTTTTTTTCCCAACAAGTCGGCCGTCTCCCACCGAGGCACGGTGACCCACCGAGGCAGGGTGACCCAGAAAAAAAGAAAATCCCCCAAAAGAAAATACTTTCATCATCATTCAACACTTTCACCACACTCACACATTATCACTGTTTTTGTAGAGGTGCTCAGAATACAACAGTTTAGAAGTATATACCTATAAAGATACACAACATATCCCTCCAAACTGCTAATATCCCAAACCCCTCCTTTAGAGTGCAGGCATTGTACTTCCCATTTCCAGGACTCAAGTCCAACTATATAAAAATAACCGGTTTACCCAAGTCCCTTCACTAAATATTACCCTGCATGTGCATCTGAAATTGAAAGGCATATATTTGCTGTTTAAAGTGATGTCTAGACTGGTATCTGCGTGCCTCTGGCAAGACAGTGATAGTGTGAATGATGGCGAAATATTTCTTTTTCGGGTCGCCCGGCCTCGGTGGGAGGTGGCCAGTGTATTAAAAAAAATATTCTGTAAAGCTTTTCCATTCACTGTTCAATATTATATATACTTTTTCAGTGACGTCTACAAAAAACCTGTGCTGTTTAGAGAGCCTTTATAAGAGTTTACTGTAATTGCTACTCAGAATTTGTTGGGATAACTGAGGTAATTTCCCCACCATAAATTAATAGTGGGTATTTACTAATGAAAGAAATGTGATTATAGACTGTTACATACTTGTATTATTAGTTAATGATCCAAGTGGGCCATTAACAGGGTTTGTGTTATTAGTTAATGGTCCAAGTGGACCATTAAATGTTTCTATTATTAGCTAATGGTCCAAGTTGAACCCAAACGTTGTCATAAGTTTTAGTCTATGGTTTAGTGCACCTCGTGAATGTAATAATGAACTTTGTTTATACAGGAAGGCCCCACTTACACAGCAGGTAGGTTCTTGGTTACTGTAGGGCCCCACTTATACAGCAGGTTAGGTTCCTGGCTACTGTAGAGCCCCACTTATACAGCAGGTTAGGTTCCTGGCTACTGTAGAGCCCCACTTATACAGCAGGTTAGGTTCCTGGCTACTGTAGAGCCCTACTTATACAGCAGGTTAGGTTCCTGGCTACTGTAGAGCCCCACTTATACAGTAGGTTAGGTTCCTGGCTACTGTAGAGCCCCACTTATACAGTAGGTTAGGTTCCTGGCTACTGTAGAGCCCCACTTATACAGTAGGTTAGGTTCCTGGCTACTGTAGAGCCCCACTTATACAGTAGGTTAGGTTCCTGGCTACTGTAGAGCCCCACTTATACAGTAGGTTCTGAGCTACTGCTGTAAAGTGAAACATATCCTAATATTTTTTTTTTTAATGCATATTAAGACCTAATAACATATTTACACTGTCATATAATAAGCTAGCATAGAGCTAGGCCTAAAAAATGCATATACAGTAAACATAACTTACCTTAAAATATTTTTGTTCTTAGCTTATGGTGAATATGTTGTAGGAAGTCTAAATAAATGAAGACTGGGTATAATTGAAAACTGCTGTATTAGTGAAACACTGTAAAGCAAAATGCTGTAAAGTGAAACACTGTAAAGCAAAATGCTGTATTAGTGAAACACTGTAGAGCAAAATGCTGTAAAGTGAAACACTGTAAAGCAAAATGCTGTAAAGTGAAACACTGTAAAGCAAAATGCTGTAAAGTGAAACACTGTAAAGCAAAATGCTGTAAAGTGAAACACTGTAAAGCAAAATGCTGTATAGTGGAACACTGTAAAGCAAAATGCTGTAAAGTGAAACACTGTAAAGCAAAATGCTGTAAAGTGAAACACTGTAAAGCAAAATGCTGTAAAGTGAAACACTGTAAAGCAAAATGCTGTAAAGTGAAACACTGTAAAGCAAAATGCTGTAAAGTGAAATGCTGTAAAGCAAAATGCTGTAAAGTGAAACATTGTAAAGCAAAATGCTGTAAAGTGAAACACTGTAAAGCAGAATGCTGTAAAGTGAAACACTGTAAAGCAAAATGCTGTAAAGTGAAACATTGTAAAGCAAAATGCTGTAAAGTGGAGCACTGTAAAGCAAAATGCTGTAAAGTGAAACACTGTAAAGCAAAATGCTGTAAAGTGAAACATTGTAAAGCAAAATGCTGTAAAGTGAAGCACTGTAAAGCAAAATGCTGTAAAGTGAAACACTGTAAAGCAAAATGCTG